GTTCTATTTGCAATAGCCAAAAGATGACTCCAGGCCTTACTGCTAAGTCTATCCATGCCCCCTCTGCCCCAAGCCCCCCCCAGGAGGCTTCTCTATATAGGTCATTTCTCTTAGAGGCCCCACTGTTCCTCCCTGCGATCTCACTTGGCCCCTCCCTGTCCAGGTCCATCAGACATGTTTTTAAAGGTCTGAATCTCAATTGTACACAGGGTTTGAACCCTTTTCCTCAAGTTTCTTGAGCCCTAGACAAATCAGGAGGTAAGCTTAGCTTACTTATTACTTACTTAGCTCACTTGTTTCAGTCTTTGAACATTCTGAGATGGTTAAGGAGCATGCAGTGTGGAGGGTAACAGGTAGTGGAGAGAAAGGGAAGAACCTAACTCCCCAATACCTTTGTCTTAGTTCTGATCTAGAGCTGCCTGTTTAAATAAGCTACTTAAATAATTACATGAGCATAGGTAGAGTCTTCACTCTCAGTGCCATGATAGCACTAGTCATTTTACTTCCAATGACAATTCTTTGATTAGGTCATTGGACTCAAAACTGGAAAAGCCAAAAATATAGGGATTTGTCTGTCTTGTACGTTGTTATAATACAAACACTTAGAATAGTTCCTGGAACATAGTAAGCACTCAATAAATATCTATTGAATGAATGAATGAATGAAAACTCCCCCCTCTTTCTAGAGAGCAATACCTAATATTGGATTAGCTAATGCGATTAGAAACCATAGTGCTCAATAGGTTGACATTCTATTGCATTAGGTACTATATATAATTTTTTCTTTATAGCGAAATTTTTGTTGTACATTATTGTTTGTCAGTCACCATATAAGTGCATCCCTTCACCCCTTGTGCCCACCCCCACCCCCCTTGCCCCTGGTAACCATCAAACAGTTATCTCTGTTAGTGTGTTGGTTTATCTTCCACTTATGAGTGAAATCATGTGGTGTTTGTCTTTCTCTTTCTGGCTTATTTCACTTAACATAATACCCTCCAGGTCCATCCATGTTGTTGCAAATGGGACGATTTTGTCTTTTTTTATGGCTGAGTAGCATTCCATTGCATGTATATATATATATATATACCACATCTTCTTTATCCACTCATCTGTCGAGGGACACTTGTGTTGCTTCCATGTCTTGGCTATAGTGAATAATGCTGCAGTGAACACAGGGGTGCATAAGCCTCTTTGGATTGTTGATTTCAGGTTCACTGGGTAGATACCCAGCAGTGGGATAGCTGGATCATAAGGTATTCTATTTGTAATTTTTTGAGGACTCTCCATACTGTTTTACATAGAGGTTGCACCAGTTTGCATTCCCACCAGCAGTGAATTAGGGTTCCTGTTTCTCCACAGCCTCTACAGCATTTGTTATATTTTGTCTTGGTGATTATAGCCATTCTAATGGGTATAAGATGATATCTTAGTGTAGTTTTGATTTGCATTTCCCTGATGATTAGTGATGTTGAGCATCTTTTCATGTGCCTATTGGCCATCCATATATCTTCTTTGGAGAAGTGTCTGTTCATTTCCTCTGCCCACTTTTTGATTGGGTTGTTTGTTTTTTTGTTGTTCAGTTGTGTGAGTTTTTTAATATATTATAGAGATCAATCCCTTGTCAGATATATGGTTTGCAAATATTTTTAGGCTGGTGGGTTGCCTATTCATTTTGATCTTGGTTTTATTTGCCTTGTAGAAGTTCTTTAATCTGATGAAGTCCCACTTGTTTACTTTTTCTTTTGTTTCCCTTGTCCGAGTAGACACGGAATTTGAAAAGATCCCTCTATGACCGATGTCAAAGAGTGTACTGCCTCTATTTTCTTCTAGGAGTTTTATAGTTTCAGGTCTCACCTTCAGGTCTTTGGTTGATTTTGAATTATATGGCAAAAAGAAGATGGTCCACTTTCATTCTTTTGCACATGGCTGTCCAGTTTTCCCAGCACCATTTATTGAATAGACTTTCTCCATTGCATGTTCTTAGCTCCTTTGTCAAAGATTAGCTGCCCATAGATGTGAGGTTTTATTTCTGGGCTTTCAATTCTGTTCCATTGATCTGTGTGTCTGTTTTTGTACCAGTACCACGCTGTTTTGATTACTATCGCTTTGTAGTATATTTTGAAGTCAGGGATTGTGATGTCTCCAGTTTTGTTCTTTTTTCTCAGGATTGCTTTAGCTATTCGAGGTCTTTTGTTGCCCGATATGAATTTTAGTATTTTTTGTTCTATTTCCGTGAAGAATGTCTGTGGGATTATGATTGGGATTGCATTGAATCTGTAGATTGCTTTAGGTAATATGGACATTTTAACTATGTTTATTCTTCCAATCCATGTCCATGGAATATTCTTCCATTTTTTATGTCATCATTGATTTCACTCAATAATGTCTTATAGTTCTCATTGTATAGGGCTTTCACTTCCCTGGTAAAGTCATTCCCAGATATTTCATTCTTTTTGTTGCAATTGTAAATGAGATTGTCTTCTTGAGTTCTGTTTCTGTTAGTTCATTGTTGGCATATAGAAATGCCACTGATTTCTGTAAGTTGATTTTGTACCCTGCAACTTTGCTGTAGGTGTTGATTATGTCTAATAGTTTTCCAACGGATTCTTTAGGGTTTTCTATATAAAATAGCATGTCATCTGCAAACAGTGAGAGTTTCACTTCTTCATTGCCTATTTGTATTCCTTTGATTCCTTTTTCTTGTCTAATTTCTCTGGCCAGAACCTCCAGTACTATGTTGATTAAGAGTGGTGAGAGTGGGCACCCTTGTCTTGTTCCTGTTTTCAGAGGGATGGCTTGCAGTTTTTCCCCCTTGAGTATGATGTTGGTTGTGGGTTTGTCATATATGGCCTTTATTATGTTAAGGTACTTTCCTTCTATACCCATTTTGTTGAGCGTTTTTATCATAAATGGATTTTGGATCTTGTCAAATGCCTTCTCTGCATCTATTGAGATGATCATATGGTTTTTATTCCTCATTTTGTTAATGTGGTGTATCACATTCATTGATTTGCAGATGTTGAACCATCCCTGTATCCCTGGTATGAATCCCACTTGATCATGGTGTATGATCTTTTTAATGTATTGCTGTATTTGGTCTGCCAATATTTTGTTGAGGATTTTTGCATCCACGTTCATCGGGGATATTGGTCTGTAGTTTTCCTTCTTAATATCGTCTTTGTCTGGCTTTGGTATCAGAGTGATGTTGGCCTCATAGGATGTGTTGTGAAGTGCTCCACCTTCCTCTATTTTTTGGAATAGTTTGAGAAGGATAGGTATTAAATCTTCTTTGAATGTTTTGTAAAATTCTCCAGAGAAGCCATCTGGTCCTGGACTTTTATTTTTTGGGAGGTTCTTGATTACTGTTTCAATCTCTTTACTTGTGATTGGTATATTCAGATTATTTCTTCTTGTTCCAGTTTTGGGAGGTTGTATGAGTCTAAGAATTTATCCCTTTCTTCTAGATTATCCAATTTGTTGGCATATAATTTGTCATAGTATTCTCTTATAATCCTTTGTATTTCTGTGGTATCCATTGTAATTTCTACTTTTTCATTTCTTTTTTTTTTTGTGAAGAAGATCAGCCCTGAGCTAACATCCATGCCAATCTTCCTCTTTTTGCTGAGGAAGACTGGCCCTGGGCTAACATCCATGCCCCTCTTCCTCTACTTTATATGGGACACCGCCACAGCATGGCCTGACAAGCGGTGCACTGGTGCACGCCCGGGATCCAAACCCAGGCCACAAGCAGCAGAGTGTGGGAACTTAACTGCTATGCCATGGGGCCGGCCCTCCTTTTTCATTTCTAATTTTATTTATTTGAGCCTTCTCTCTTTTTTCTTGGTGAGTCTGGCTAAGGGTTTGTCAATTTTGTTTATCTTCTCAAAGAACCAGCCCTTTGTTTCACTGATCTTTTCTACTGTTTTTTTGGTTTCGATTTCATTCATTTCTGCTCTGATTTTCATTATTTCCCTCCTTCTGCTGACTTTGGGCTTTGTTTGTTCTTCTTTTTCTAATTGTTTTAGGTGTAGTTTGAGGTTGCTTATTTGGTTTTTTTCTTGTTCGTTAAGGTAGGCCTGTATTGCTATGAGTTTCCCTTTCAGGACTGCTTTTGCTGCATCCCACATGAGTTGGTACAGTGTATTTTCATTTTCATATGTCTCCAGATATGATCTGATTTCTCCTTTAATTTCATCAATGATCCATTGGTTGTTCAGTAGCATGTTGTTTAGTCTCCACATCTTTGTCACTTTCCCATTTTTTTTCTTGTAGTTGATTTCTAGCTTCATGGCCTTATGGTCAGAAAAGATGCTTCTTATGATTTCAATCTTCTTAAATGTATAGAGGCATGCCTTGTTTCCCAGCATATGGTCTATTCTTGAGAATGTTCCAAGTGTGCTTGAGAAGAATGTATAATCTGCTGTGTTTGGATGGAATGCTCTATAGATATCTATTTTGTCTATCTCATCAAATTTTTCATTTAAGTCCAATATTTTCTTATTGACTTTCTGTCTGGATGATCTATCCATTGATGTAAGTGGGGTGTTAAGATCCCCTACTATGTAACATCTCTATAAAACTAAGATATTACTTGGCTGATTCTAAGACATCCAGGAATAGTGTAAATATGGCTCAGAATTTCACTAAATAAATCATTCCTCCTGAAACTAACTCAAAATAAACCCCTGCCAAAAGAAAACAAAGCAAACCTATCCTTCCTTTAAGAAACTCACAATTTAGAAGCAAGCTATTGCAAATTATCTGTTATTAAAATATAGAAGTGTTTAAACCTTGATACGGCACATTCAAACCTTTCTCAATTTGAAAAACAATAAACGACAATCATCGACTTTGAGAGGGAGCTCCTGACCGTGTGAATCTGGACTGTACTGTTTTTCTACCCTGGTTCCCACAGTGCTGATGTCCAGCTGGCACCCAGTGACCTTTTCCTTGCTTACCCCCAAACTCACTCCTCTTCTTCCCGGAAGACTTTTACTCACTTTCTGAATTTTCCTAATCTGGTCAGAGAGTGTGTCTAACAGGCGAGTTTTCAGGAAGTCCATCACCTTGACCACCCGGCCATCAATGTAGCAACTGGAATAAAAATAAAATAAGAATCAGATAAAACCTCAAGCAGGAGACTACAAATACACTTCTCTAGCTGGAGGTGTCTGTTGCCTGAGGAAATAGCCCAGGGTTCACTCGGGATCTTATATCCTAAAAAGTTTTGACCTTGAGTACTGTTCAAACAAATAATATACTTTTTATCTTCTTCATTTCCACCTCCATTTGTGGGCTAATATTGTGATTTTTTTTCAACTTTTGTCACATGAAACTGCATTGCTTGCTCTATAGGAACTGACAGGAATTCATAACACAAATTGGGTAATGGGGAAAAGCTTACTGTTTTCCCCTAGGGAAAGTAATTCAATACCCATCATCTCTGCTGCCACCTTAAATAAAGGTATGTGAGAGGGTTGAAAGAATACTCAAACACGTTGGTAGGTTTCCACACCTTTAAATAAGAAAACAAACACCAACCACAAAAATCTAATTTAGTTCAGTGACTGGATCTCATCTCCAGCTCACTTCCCTGGGCAAAATACCTTGTAGCCAACCTTCTCCTACCACTTCCAGAATAAATTAATCAATACATGAATAAATAAGCAAACAAACAAATAAGTTAGGCAGGTTAAAGTCCAGGAGCCCTCTCCTAAAATAGTAACAAGTTTGGCATACATCGGTGTGGTGGTGTCCAGGTTTTGTTAGGTAGCTTAAGTGAAACATCAAGCTGTGCTGATCCTGTGTTGTGAACATTTGACCAAAACAGGTCCATCCCGCTCGGTGAGGACCTTCTTTGTGAATCCTTACGCTGAAAACTAAGCTGAGACTGGCCCAGGATGAGGTGAGCTTCATTATCTCATACCTCCCCACTTCCATCTTTGCAAAATTCTGAACTAAAACAATTTAATTTAAATCAACACTTACGACTCCTGGATGCCTTTTCCAACACACTTAGGTCTCCTTGGCTGATGGCTAATGATAGATTACTTCATTTTTAACAAGACACCAACCTATTAGTACATACTACAAAAATATGTGAAATTTTTTTTGAGTGTTAAATTCCCATACCAATATGTGATGTAGTAGAATGGTTAAAAATTTTTTAAACAGGTGCTCTGGTTGAAGTGAGGGTGGGAGATGAGTTCCACCTACTCAGCCCTTCCCCTTCCCCTTGCTTCCCTCACCACCTCAGACATTTCCACAGAATCCACTGTTTAAATCATTGGTATATTGGAAAGAGTATGGGTTTTGGATCCAGAGATATCTGAATTCAAATTCCAGATTAGGTATTTACCACCTTTACGATCTTGGGCACATGGCCTCTATGGGCCTCCGTTTTCTTATTCTTAGAGAAAACATCTACTTCCTAGGATTAATTGAAGATTAAATAGATAACAAACCTAAAGTGTCTGGCACACAGTAGGCACTCAATACCTCTTTGTTCTGTTCTAATTTCTCTAATTTTCAACTCATAAAGATGGGGTCATAAACAATAGGAGACTGATGAATTAACTTTTGTATGAGTATAGAATCCTAAAAATGGAATTGCTGTGTCAAAGGGTACACGCTTTTGAAAATTTGGAGTGGTTACTTATATTAGGGAATAACACAAAACAATGACATGATCTTTCACCTCATTCCTGGTACAGATGCTAGACTCAGATCCAATAAACATTTATTATGTGCAACACATGGTGCTGGGCATGTCCATGACCTCACAACCTCTTCCTATTAGTACTTCACTACTAGCACCTCTGATTTTATTTAAAGTTGTGATTAGATGGCATACTAAGTGAAAGCTAAGCATATTAGAACAGAGTAGTGTGAAAATGAAAAATAATTTATGTAATGTTAATCTAACACACATTTAACATGAATACTAGTTACTATATTACATGATGACTAGGCATATGATAAAAATGCACTATAATTAGTGTTCTTTTATGCTTTAGTTAAATATATTATAGTTTCCTCTTTTTTCTTTGTTAGCTCCCGGTTACTATTTTAAACATCAGTGTTTATGATTTTTGCTGGCAACATATTTTGTTTAATACTTATTGAGACAAAAATGCCAGATGTATTTTTTCACTATGTAGGATTCCCTGTGGACACCCTCCCTATCCCACACAATCCATGGCCCTGGGTTGAAGGTCTCTTCACTTTTCCCCTCCTTCCTTTTGTTCCTTTTCTCAAGTACACAGAACATGGAGTTAGAAAACCTTGGTTCAGTCCCAGCTGTGCCACTTACTACCTATATGATGTTGGGTTTCTCCTTCTTTAAAATGGGTTTTAAAAGAAGCACAAACCTATAGTATTTTCATAGGGTTATAGTACCAATCAAATTAGGAAAAATGCTGGACACAGAACCTAGCACATAAAAGGTATTCAATAACCAAATCTATCCTTCAGGTTACTTAGGGGTACAAGGTAGCAGCAACTTAGACTGAAAAGCTGTGGGATGGGGTGAGCAGGGGAGGACCTGTCTGGAGAAGGAAAGTATGTTCATCCACTATAGGATTTGGAATGAGGGAAGTATGGAGCAGCAAGAACAGACTCTGGATTCCCAGTAGGTGGGAGGCAGAGGGAGGGATGGAAAGGGCTAAGATTATGTTACAAAAATATGGGGTTTGAAAAGACCTTAATGGTCATATGGTCTAAAGCACGTAAGCTTGCTACAACATCCCTGAGAAGTGATTTTCCAGGACAGGGAACCCACTCTCATAAATACTAGTACTGTCCCATCGTACTACAGCTTGAATTGATGAAAGGTACTTCTAATATGGGTCTAAAATTTGCTCCCTCTTACTGTCAACTCAATGGCTTTTTTAGACCCAGAAATAGTCCAATTTCTCCTTCACATGACACATTGGAGACAAATTCCAGTAAAAACTTTGGCTTAAACTTTTTAGAGCCTATTTGTGGTCCCACTTTTAACCTAACAAGCTAGATTCAATCATTCTCAGTTGGTCTCAGGATATTCCTATGGGCTGTGAATTAGATTGGAGAAAGGGAGAGCTTCAGGGAGGAAACCAGTGTGATGAGGTTATCTTATCTCAATAGTGCAGGCAAGAAGTGATCTGACTCTAAGTAAGGGAGGTAATGGAAAGAAGTAAAAGTGAGAGGCTATGAAGGAAGAACTAACAAAGCTTCTGTAGAGCATAAGAGGAAGGGAGTCAATGATGACCAGGAGGTTATAAAAGAGAATGTCTTGGAGAACACTGGTGGCAAGGACATGTAGGCAAGTCAGACTAGAGTTTAGATTTGTTAAAAGAGATGAATGATTCTGTCTAAGATATCAACAACACAGAGAATATCAAAGATGAAATATACAATGGGTAGTTGGAAATATGAGAAAAAGGTGCAGAGAAAAATTGAGACAGGAAATGTCGACCTGGGTGTCTTCTTCAGCTTATAAGTAATGGATAAAGCCATGGCTGTAGATGAGCCCTCTGAGAGAATAAGAGAAATCAACAAGAGATGTCAGAGACCCTTTAAAATGCTTCTCAAATATGGCCCTGGGCATTGCCTCTACTTTTGGCCCAGCTAAGACTCCTTTCCTTCCCCAGCCTGACCATCACGGTGTAGTTTTAATAACCTCAGTCTAAGTCAAACTCACGTTTCGATGTCAAAGGAATCCTCATATTATACTGAGAAGTTTCAGTAACTTTCATTTGCAGCCTTAAATCCATATTTATATTGTACTATGAAAACATGAACTTTGGTCCCCCAGAATTTAGTATCACCTGTAAGAGAGAGGATAATTTAACCCTGAATATGAGTCTAATAAATATCTAAGCCTTTTTCTTGGGTACTTTTGGGGGATAGCTTGCTGCACTTGTCCTTTGTAAATGTGAAGCTTCTAAGAAAATATTCAACTTCAGCAATCTGTGGTTATTTGAAAAATTCCTGCCCGTTACAGAACTTTGGTTCTCTGATAGTGGCTGCCGGTGGTAAAGGGCCCAGTATATCATTTAGATTTGGACATGAAGGAGGTGGAGTAGCCTGCGGTAACCATTTGGTGAGAATAGATTGCTAAAATGATGAAGATGGTGATTTTTAACTAAGCCTGGGTAAAAGGAAGTAAGGCTGGATTCCAACGGATTGTCCAGTGACCTGGGGGCAACTCTCTCTGCTTTTCTCTCTTTCTCACTGGGAAGATAAAGGTGATTCTTAGCTACCAATCAGTCTCTCCACAAGAGTTAATTAGTTTCGTAATGGCTAGAAAGGCATCAGAAGACCAAATAAATTAGAGAGGAAAGGAAGGATTGAGGGAAGGAAAGAAAGAAAGGCGAGAGGAAGGAAATTCATCAATTAGAGGTGCTTTGGCATCTTCCGCATAAACCCTGGCAGAATGGTTGGCGCTAGAAACACTTAGACTGATACTTTTAGGTAAATCATAGTCTTCCTCCAAGCTCTCTTGAAATTTCAACATCTTAGGATCATACTACCAGTGGCTGAGCACACTGCAAAAGCTGAAGCCAAGAGAGGCTATGCAGAAATAACCTTTCTGGGAACTATTACAAATGCAATGAGGTTGAAACTTTTGTGCACGGACAAATAGCCTGTCTGGCACAATACCAGCAACCATCAGCCCTTCCTCTGCTGGCCTCTAGATTGGCAAGTCATATCAAGCATCCATCTGGAGAGGTGGCAAGGATGGCAGAGTATACAAAGTAAATGGAACCACTCACCAATTCATTCACCAACTTTCTTGTCCTTCTTAGTTTTAAATTTTATTTCCAGTTTAATACCTTTCATCTTATTTAAACTTTTGCTTTTTATTTGTTTATTATAAAAGAAATAAGTGCTCACTGTAGACAAATTAGAAAATGCACATTAACAAAATTAAAATATGGAGATGAAAAATCACTGATAGGCCCAACACCTAGAGATACCACTTGTTAACATATTGCTGTATACCCTTCCAGAGTTTTTCATAGTAAATACACATAAAATTTCCCATAACTAGTTATTTTAAAAATTTATTCCAGATTCTATTCTACTAGCATATTAACCTAAAACTGCCCTAG